TGCTCTTGGCTATGAGAAAGCTTCCTGTCCCCAAGGCTGCCAGCCTGCCTGGTGCTCAAGCAGTCGGCTGAGATTGATTTCCTTGAGGAAAGCCATGGCCTTCCAGTGCCCAGCTCAGAGGCATGATCATGCAGGGGCACACGTGAGGTGATGGGTGAGGGCAGTCCCGACTTGCAGTTTGTGTTTGGCCCCGTCTCCTTGCTCTGAGCACGGAGCTGGGCCAGGTGATCCCAGAGGTCCCTCCCTGCATGTGTTACTCCACATGCTGAGCATCTTGAGCAAGCTATTTAGGTCATAGCCTCTGTGGAGCAGCACCCAGCCTCAGAGGAGTCAGGCCAAGCTGCCCAGCACCCTGCTTACCAGCCTCAGTATCTCTGGAAAACATGGATCTCAGCTGCTTTGTTGCTTCCATGTTGGAGGTGAATCTTGCTTACTTACAGGAACTGGAGGTGCTGAAGGCAAAGTGCCTGGTGACTGCAAAGTAACTATGCTGTTACTCAGCTGATTCGCTGTCAGCCAGAAAGGTTTTGCACAATGCTGTCTGAGGGATACTGGAAGGCCTTTCCAGTCAAAAGGAGCACTGCCTATGGGGCCAAACGGGAACCATGTCTTGGTCTGGGATCAGGCAGCCTCAGCCTGCAAAGCCAGGTGTTTAAAATCAGGAGACCCAGGGTCTGGGGTGGTATCCCCTCCAACTCTTTCCCTACTTCTGTTGGCTACCAGGACACTCCTGGCAGAACAAGTGGAGGCCCTGGGGAGCAGGCTGCCAACCTCTTGATGAGGTTTCTCCTGTTTTCTGCTCCTGGAGCCTAATGGAAATACACCTGAGGAGGCTGAGCATTGGGACCATCCCATTGACACACAAAGCTCCATGAGCTGCTCATGGTGACTGCTGTGATATCAGCTCCCTGTTCTTAGAATTGCTAAGGTTGGAAACGACTAGTGTAATCAGCAAGTCCAACCTCAACCCATGCCCACTGCCCATGTCCTTCAGCACTGCATCTCCACATTCCTTGAGCACTTCCAGGGACATCAGCCCCACCGCTGCCTGTGCAGCCCTATTCCTGTGCTGCAAAACCCCACTCTCATCAGATGTTGATGGCTCCTTTTATTGCTACTTTGGGAAAGGTGCACATGTCAGGAGGGAGCTCCAGCCGTGATCGCTCCTCATCCTTTGGTTTGCATCAAACACCCCTTTGGGCTCAACGCCACATCACAGCCTTCCCACGCCGCACCACCAGCTCTGCCTTGCTGAGGCCAGATAGGTTTGCAAATAAGTTTTCTAAAGGAGTGTATGCAAAAAGCACACAAGCGGGTAGGTCTGCAGTGCTCAGCTGGTGGGAGTTGAACGCTTCTCTTCAGACAGAGCACAAGTCACAAAGCTGGGGCATGCAAGCCCCTGAGCCTGGAGAAGTGAGGACCTACCCAGCAGCCTCGGATCCCAAACAAGTGTGGCTCTGCTCCGCCCTGAGAGGCTGCTTCCACCCTGTGGGCAGAGACAAATGCTTTGGGATGGGGCAGGCAGACATTTCCCTGGGTGTTCGGCTCCACACCTGGTTCTGCTTGCATCATGGGGAGCCAGTAGCTCTGTGTAACCCAAAAGAAAGCAATGACTCACTGGGCTGCAGCTCTTTCCAAGTATTTCACGCATTTCGCAGGCACGCCAGCCTGTGTTATGAAATGCCCTCTCTTTGCGGTGCGCGTTGTCATGTCCTGTACAAAAACTGAGGGCTCAGTTTTCCATTGTGCACCGACACAGCGCAGACGAAGGAGGTAACGTGCACATAGTTCTGCCTCCATCACTATTTGCATGGTATTAGGAATGCAAAAAGCCATCCCCACACCACTCTGACAACCTGGCTGGCTCCCCGCTGACGTTAGCCCAGCCATGAGGTGCTGGCGGAATGTTTTAATGAAAATGTTAACTAAAATATAAAGTTTCACGCTCCAGCCAGGACTGGAGGGGTGGGAGGGGGAGAAGGTGGGGAGCGGTGCCCTGCACCGTGCTGCTGGGTCAGGGCTGTCTCCTGTCCCTGGGCGGGTGGCAGTGGGAGCACCACGTCCCCATCCATGCTGTCCTGATTTTCTCCCTGCAGGGGCCGAGGGGCAGAGGCTCTCTCCAAGTCGTGCACCTGGGGCTGGTGTGACCATTTCCATGGCATCCGTGGAGAGCCCACCAGGCACAGCTCCAGGCGGAGAAGAAGACCGATGATGGCAAGCATGGCCATGCCCCACATGTGCCTACATCTTGGTGACATTGTTCCCGTGCCACTCACTGGCATTAACAAATGGACTAATTGCAGCTCCCTGCTGACTGCATGGACTGGTTGCACTGGGCGCAGCCATAAACTTCTCCTATATTATATATTTTAGCAATCTGTGCTCGGAAGCAGATTTGAATTTCCACTTCAGGCTCCGAGAACCGTTCCATTGAGATAGGGGCCGATAACATCTCCACTCAGGATACCTCTGTGCCTTTCGCAGTCGGCGGCGTTTTGCTAAGAATGCTCTCCATTTTCATATCTTGCTGTATCATCTCAGCTGAATAACCATTATTTTGCCTTTAAAATAAGACGCGGAGCCTCTTAAGCACCGTTCCATCGGAGCCCCGATCCCAATCGGCCCCTCGCACCGCGCCGAGGCAGCGAGCCCTGCGGCATCGCCGGGTTTCGGGCCGTGAGGGCGGGTTCCGGGGCTCCCTCCCCCTTCCATCCCATCACCATCGTCTTAAAACTGTTTTTTTCTGTCCTGAAAAGGAAGATGAGCTGTAAACGTTTTGTTTTTTTTTTTTTTAAATCTGAAGCGATTTGTGAGCAAAACACCTGTATGGAGCACAATAAAAGACGTGTGCTTGCTGTCGGCCAGCAGTTCTCCCCCAGAGCCCCGAGCCCGGCTGTGGGGCGGTGCGCAGGGACGGCGGGGGCAGCGTGGAACGCAGAGCTGTGTGCTGAACGGCAGCCACGATTCTGTCAGCGCGAGTGATGGTCTGTGTGAGGGATTAATCCGACACCAGACAGGGATTCCTAATCCTTCGCTATATCATAATCTATTTACTTTGCATGCTAAGAGGATTTCGGCTTAAAAATATACAGGAAGTGATACTAGAAATGTACATAAGATGCAAAGCGCCGTTTCCTAAAATCTCACCTTTTTTTTTTTTTTTTTTTTTTTTCCCCTCCATAAAATCCTCTGATGGTTTTCTTGCAAAAGTCCCATCCTGGAGGAGCGGGGACTGCTGTCCCCAGCACACAGCCCTGCACACTCCGAAAGCTTTTGATGCCCGACCGAGGGAACGGCGTTGCACCAGGAGCGCCGCTGGCACTTCCCAGCCGGGGCTCGGACCCAAGTGGGATTTTACATGCGGTTACTGCTGCTCTTGTGCCCGAATTAGCGGCGATGGGATAAGGTGGAGCGCAGCGGCAGGGCTCCTCTCTCGCCCGCTGCAAGACAATGACCGGAGCTGCCGAGAGCGGCTCACCGCTGCCCGCACTGCACTGCGTCCGGTGGGCGCTGGGACAACTTTTCCCTGCCTAAAGAAGGGCTGCGAGGGCACCGGCGCTGGGACGAGCACAGCCGGTGCCGGCATAGAAACCCGACGCCGTTCCGTAAATGCTGTTCTATCTACAGCAGGTGGCACAGGATGCTCGCTGCCCGCATCGCCCGGCGGTGGCGATTCCACCTGCATGCTCTGAGATGGGCGACCCAACAGCGCTCCAGCTCTTCCCAAAGCACCTGTAGCACCCCAGTGCCTCTGCTCCCCCCACACTGGGGACGCGCCGGGCTCCCGGCTGCGCTGGGAGCTGAGACAAGACCAAGGCTGGAAAATAAATGGGGATTTGGGGGTGGAAATTGCCGTGAGAAATAATCCCCCTCCCCTTCCCACTGAGTCGCAGCCGACAGCGGGAACAGGGAAACGCCGGCAGCGCGTCTGAGGTCGTGGTGCCGAGCACCCCGCTGTGTGCCCACCGTGCTGTCGGTCCGGGGTGAGCCATGCATCCCCTCTCAGCACAGAACTGCCCGTGGGTCCCCAGCGCATAGCGCTGCATCAGCAGGGTTTCAGCCCTTTTGGGAAGCGCTTGCCCACCCCGCACGGGGAAACGTGGTGCAGCCCGGCCAGGGAACCAATTAGCAGCGTTAATTAAAAGCAGCCTGGAGCCTGCACCCGCAGAGAAGTGTCCCTGCACAGCCTGTCCTGCTGAGAACCCCCGGAGAGAGAGCATGGAGAGTGAGCACGGGGTTCGATATGGGGTCTGCTGGTGGGCACTGCATGGCTGAAGGATCTACGGGGCCACGGCAGGGGGCAGGAAACCACCTCCCCTTCCCCACATTTACCCCAAAGGAGCTCAGCTCCCTCCCAGTCCCCCATCCCTCCTCCCCCCCCCCACAAAAAAAAAGAAAAAACAAAATAACAAAAAAAAAAAAAAAAAAAAAGAACCCAAAACTTTTTTTTTTCCTGTTTTTCTTTCCTTTTTATTATTTTTTTTTTAATTTTTTCAAAAAGCTTTTTGTTTTTTGGTCTGCGGGTCGGCCGAGCAGCCCTTCCCTCCCCTCCTCTACCTCCTCCTCCTCTCCAGCCCCACCGGCCCCTGGCGGACAGACGGATGGACGGAGGTGGCCCCGGTAGGGGAGAAAAACTGAGAAATAAAAATAAAATTTTAGGGGGAAAAAAAGAAAAAAAAAAGAAGAAGGAAATGTTAAAGTTGCATTTTTGCATTGGGTTCATCGCCATCGACGGTGGCCCAGGAGCATCAGCTGAAGGGAACGGCTGCAGCGCTGGGCTGGAGCCGGTGCTCATCCATCCCAGGAGCGCGGCCAACCAGGAGCAGGGAGCCTTTGGGTTTTTGTGTTCCAAGTCCTCTTCCGTTCCGTTTAAAAAAATAATAATTATAAGAACCCGGCCGGAGGGGCGCGGGACGCAAATAAATATCAGTCAGGAGAGACGGGGCCGCTGCCGAAGCGGGGAGGAGGCCTGGGGTGGGGGTCGGTGTGGGGCCGGGCCCTCACAAGACCTGGAAGCGCCAGGAGGCCTGGTCCTTGTAGTCGAGGCAGTCGGGGGAGTTGAAGTTGAGCTTCCAGGAGGCGGCGGCGGCCGGCTCCTTGTAGTCCAGGCAGTCGGAGGAGTTGAAGGGCAGCGCGGTGCCGCCGTAGCCCTGGTGGTGGTGGTGGTGGTGATGGTGGTGGTGGCCCGAGCTCTGGCTCAGAGGGTGGTGATGGTGGTGGCCCGGCACCGAGGAGGGACCCATGGGGCTGAGCTGGTGGGGATGGTGGTGGGAGTGCATGGGGGCCAGGTAGGAGCTGCAATCCACTCCCCCGAAGTAGGACGAGGAGGGCGGTGCGGGGTAGCCCTGCCCGTAGCCGCCGCCCTGGCCGTAGGACACGGGGTAGCTGGCGGAGGCTGCGGGCCCCGCGCGCTGCATGCAGGACGCGCCGGTGGGCGGCAGGGGCTCGGGCACCGTCACCCCCGCAGGGGCTGCACCAGGAGAGATGGAGGCCGGGCTCCAGATGGACGAGGCCGTCGTGCCCAAGGAGGCCGGGGCAGCCCCGGCTGCCACTGCAGCCCCTGAAGAGGCCGAGCTGGAGGAGGAAGAGGAGGCAGAGGAGCTGGAGGCGGCCGCCGGCGGCGTGAACTGCCCGCTGCTCTCCGAGCCTGAGCTCTCACGGGCCGGTGATGACTTCTTCTTGGCCGGGCGGCTCTTGGCTCCGCCGCCGCTCTGCTGCTGCTGCCGGCACTTGGCGCGGCGGTTCTTGAACCAGACCTGGGGGAAACGGGGCTATGAGCGGCGGGGAGAGGAGCCGGGGGCTCTGCTTGCCCTCCTGCAGCCGGGCGGCCTCACCCGCACCCACACCCCGCCATTACACCCACGGAGCCCTGCCCGCGCCCCGACGGCATCACCCCAAATGCCCTCAGCAAGGAGTGGGGTGTCCCGTCCTGTTGTACTGGGGTCACTGGGGCTTGAGGCTAAGGCAGCCCACCGAGCTCAGGACCCCTCAACAAACGTCCGCGGGGAAGGGGCCAGCACCTGCACACCCACCCTGCAGGCAGCACTCCGGGGCCGCTGCTGTGCAGCAAGGCAGGACAGGGGCTGTTAACCCCGCAGGGCAGGTGGACGGGGGAAAACAAATTAAATAAGATCGAAAAAAATTACAAGTGAACCGAAAATAAACAAAAGCCCCTTCCCCTGAGCAGCACAGCCCACGCACGCCCCAGGGAGACCGGCTGAGCATGGCCGACCGCGCCGAGTGCCCCGGTCCTGGCAGTACCTGCACTCGGGACTCGGGCAGATTGATCTTCAGGGCCACCTCCTCCCGCATGAAGATGTCGGGGTAGCGAGTCTTGGCAAACAGGGCCTCCAGCACGTCCAGCTGCGAGCGGGTGAAGGTAGTGCGCTCCCGGCGCTGCTTCCTCGGGGTGGCTGCAGGCAGGCACCGTCACTGTGGCACCGCGCGGCCCCGGCACCCCGCGGTGGGGCGTCCTTGGAGCATCCCCCCCCCCTGCTCTGTGGACCCCACTTTATGGAACCCCTTGGTCCCACGGCACTGCTGTGCGGGGCCGAACCCCATCCCGCTGCAGACGGGGTGAGCAGAGAAGCACTTGGGAAGGATCAGGCCCGGACGCGGTAGGAGATCCGTGGAGATTTCGTTGTAGGGAAATAAGCCACACTTCCACCTCCCCTTCTCCTCCCCCTTCTTTTTCTTTTCTTTCTTTCTTTCTTTCTTTCTTTTTTTTTTTTTTTTCCTTTTTAAATTTTCCTTAAAATTCCCCGCGGAAGCGAACGAAATCAGGGGGGAAGGGTAGGAGGAGGTGGGGGGGTCGCGTTTGGGACTCACCCGGGTACCCGACGGAGGGGTGTAGCAGGTCCATGGCCGGGCCCGGCAGCCCCAGCCCGTTCATGCCGTATGGGGGCTGCTTGAGGTAAGACATCATGCTAACAGCCGGGCGGGTTTCCTCCGACGTCCCGCAGGAAAGTAAAAAAAAAAAAATTAAAAATAAAATAAAAATAAAAATAAAAATAGTCGCAATAGAAATAATTTTTTTTTTAAAAAAAAAAAAGAGGAAAAAGAGGAAAAAAAAAAAAAAAAACCCAAAAAAGG